CCCCCCCATCTGACTTAGATTATCAAGTTTTACTTACATAGGTTTATTGATCTCCCAGAAAGCAATATCGTCACTCATCCAAGGATTCGAGGGACCAACGCCGACAAGGATAGGATCGTAGTCGACAAACGTATCCGTAAAATCCAGCAAACCTGAAATATTTGAAACTAACAATTTGTTTTTTATTCAATAAAGTCAATCGTCTTTTTTAAAGTATAATTTTGAATTCATATACTACGAATTAAGTTAATTTTGTTTTTGTCCATGCGAGTCGACCCGAAATATCTAGTATATAGTATATATATAGTGTATCTAGGGAGTCGACCCGAAATATCTAGTATATAGTATAAAGTGTATCTAGGAAGTCGACCCGAAATATCTAGTATATAGTATATATATAATGTATCTAGGGAGTCGACCCGAAATATCTAGTATATAGTATATATAGTGTATCTAGGGAGTCAAACCGAAATATCTAGTATATAGTATATATATAGTGTATCTAGGGAGTCGACCCGAAATATCTAGTATATAGTATATATAGTGTATCTAGGGAGTCGACCTTTGAACATGAATACAAAAATCAGGCGGCCATCTTGGATTCAGGCAGCTTATCTTGGATTTATGCGGCATAATTAATCTAAGGCAGTCATACTGGATTAAGGCAGCCGTAATGAATTCAGGCAGCTACATTTGAATTAGGCCGCCATATTGGATTCAAGCGGCCATATTTATATTGAATTTATGTGGCCAGCCGGCCATATTGGATTTAGGCAGCCATATTGTATATGGCAGCTGCATATTGAACTTATGTGGACATATATGATTCAGGCGGCCACATTGGGTTTAGGCAGTCAAATTGAATTTATGCAGCATTTTTTGTCTGGCAATACAGTGAACTTACTTTCAGCAACCTGGCTGGTCCTGACCCTGGAGATACTGAGATACTTCTTGAGGAATTCCATCTCCTCTTTCAGCAGCTCTTTGTTGTTTCTCCGGGCTTTCACCCGCTGCTCCCTGTAAAATCAATTCATTAATTAACTCGGCAGAGCTAGGAAATTTCCAAATTAAATTAATTAATTTCTGACAAAAAAAAACTGAATATGCAAGTCCCTTTCAAAATTGAAATGAATTATTATGCGACATTTTCTAATTCATGATGTCAAAACATTATTTAATTCATGGTTTCAAATCATTTTCTAATTCATGATGTCAAAACATTTTCTAATTCATGATGTCAAAACATTATTTAATTCATGATGTCAAATCATTTTCTAATTCATGATGTCAAAACATTATTTAATTCATGATGTCAAAACATTTTCTAATTCATGATGTCAAAACATTTTCTAGTTCATGATGTCAAAACATTTTTTAATTCATGATGTAAAAACATTTTTTAGTTCATGATGTCAAAACATTTTCTCGTTCATGATGTCAAAACATTTTCTCATTTATAATGTTCGAACATTTTTTAATTCATGATGTCAAAGCATTTTCTAGTTCATGATGTCAAAAGATTTTCTAATTTATGGTGTAAAAACATTTTCTAATTCATAATGTTCGAACATTTTCTAAGTCCTGATGTCAAAACATTTTCTAATTCATGATGTCAAAACATTTTCTAGTTCATGATGTCAGAACATTTTCTAAGTTATGATGTCAAAACATTTTCTAATTTATGATGTCAAAACATTTTCAAATTTATGATTTACTATAAAAATAAATAGAAAGACGACATTTAAACATTTTTTCTTGTATTTGATTTTGTTTTAAAGCAAAAAGTTTCTTATTTAGTGAAATTGGTCTGTGTGCATGTTACATAATCATAGTTATAGGGTAAAAGTCGTCTTCCTATTCCACAGAGTCAGAAGTTCCAATGTATGTAAAATAATAATACGGCAAAAAAGAAATGTAAACTCAAGTTTTTAGTGATAAAATCTACAGGAACGAATAAGTTTCAGTTTGACCCAGAACTAAGGAAACATCGAAAAGATTTATAAAATGTCGTTTATAAACAAATTGTTAATGGAATGCTGAATATTTTTAGTTTTTAATTGAATTAATAAACGGAGCTCTTTAAAAATGTTTTCGCATATTTTATGGTTATTTATTATTTTTGCAATTACTTAGCTTCAGGTACAGGGTGTCCCACAAAACATGACAGTTTGTGAATAGTTTTGAATGTCTTCTTTTATATTTTTAATAATTTTTGTTTTTAATCCTGGTGACAGAAACAATCTCAAGAACTGACGAGGGTCAACCCAGACCGAAATATATTTTCAATAAATGTGGAACTAACATCTACTTTTTACTCTACACCATCACCGAATTTTAAATGTTTTAGAATGAAGTAAAATATCTGCAACATTCCATTATCAGAAAGTGAAGAATACGACATTTGATGAATTCTTTCGATGTATTGGTTATAAAGGGTTTCACTGTATATATATATATTAAAGACTTTTTGCAGCATATTTTGTTTAAAATAATCTTATACTAAAATATATTTTATTTTGATATCAATTTTGCCCTAATATGACTGCCACATAATATTTTTATCATTCATTTCGATATCAAACAACTTAACAAATTATGGAAGAAGATATTCTAAACTATTCACCAACCGTCATGTTTAAAAGTATACAATCAAGACGACATTTCATAAATTTTTTGGGGGTTTCCGAAGTTCTGGGTTAAACTGTCGTATAAACTAACCGGGAGACCGGGTTCAAGGCCGTGGATGTTTCTCCGCCTCTGAGCACGCTTGTAAAGATAAATAGCGTACTCTATATTGTCTGGAGTATGGTGCTGTGAGGGCCAGTAATAGGGACTCTGAAAATATAAAAATGTTTTCTACTCATTTTAAGTCCGTTTCCCATCCCTAGTTATTTAACTCATTCATAATTATTAGTGAGTTTTCCCATCCCTAGTTATTTTACTCATTAATCATTATTGGTGAGTTTTACCATTCCTAGTTATTTTACTCATCAGTCAGTTAGTCAGTTTCCCCATCTTTAGTCATGTTTCCCCATCTCTACTCATGTTTCCCCATCTCTACTCATGTTTCCCAATCTCTACTCATGTTTCCCCATCTCTGCTCTTGTTTCCCCATCTCTACTCATGTTTCCCCATCTCTACTCATGTTTCCCCATCTCTACTCTTGTTTCCCCATCTCTACTCATGTTTCCCCATCTCTACTCATGTTTCCTCATCTCTACTCATGTTTCCCATCTCTACTCATGTTTCCTCATCTCTACTCATGTTTCCTCATCTCTACTCAAGTTTCCTCATCTCTACTCATGTTTCCCCATCTCTACTCATGTTTCCCCATCTCTACTAAAGTTTCCCCATCTCTACTCAAGTTTCCCCATCTCTACTCATGTTTCCTCATCTCGACTCAAGTTTCCTCGTCTCTCTCTACTCATGTTTCCCCATCTCTACTCAAGTTTCCTCATCTCTACTCATGTTTCCCCATCTCTACTCATGTTTCCCCATCTCTACTCATGTTTCCCCATCTCTACTCATGTTTCCCCATCTCCACTCATGTTTCCCCATCTCTACTCATGTTTTCCCATCTCGACTCATGTTTTCCCATCTCTACTCAAGTTTTCCCATCTCAAATCATGTTTCCCCAGCTCTACGCAATGCTTCCCCATCTCTACTCATGTTTCCCCATCTCTACTCATGTTTCCCATCTCTACTCATGTTTCCTCATCTCTACTCAAGTTTCCTCATCTCTAGTCATGTTTCCCCATCTCTACTCATTTTTTCCAATCTCTACTCATGTTTCCCCATCTCGACTCACTAACCTGAAATCTATAAAGAGAGCTGTCGTCTTTAACGAGAAGGTTCTTCTGTTCGTTGACAGGGAAGTAGTATCCAAACTGGCACAGAAGATTGGCAAGATGGACTGCCTCCACTAAAATAATCAATATTCAAATACGTTCAGATTATGGTGTACTATAGAAAAAGAAGGATTCTTGTAGAATAAGAAGGGTTCTAGTAGAATAAGAAGGGTTCTAGTAGAATAAGCAGGACTCTAGTAGAATAAGCAGGACTCTAGTAGAATTCTAATAGATTCTAATAGAATAAGAAATAAGAATAGGATTCTAATAGAATAAGAAAGATTCTAGTAGAATAAGAAGGATTTTAGTAGAATAAGGAAGGTTCTAGTAGAATACGAAGGATTCTAGTAGAATAAGAAAGGTTCTAGTAGAATAAGAAGGATTCTAGTAGAATAAGCAAGGTTATAGTAGAATAAGAAGGATTCTAGTAGAATAAGCAAAGTTCTAGTAGATTTAGAAGGATTCTAATAGAATAAGAAAGATTCTAGTAGAATAAGAAGGATTTTAGTAGAATAAGGAAGGTTCTAGTAGAATAAGAAGGATTAGTAGAATAAGCAAGGCTCTAGTAGAATAAGAAGGATTCTAGTAGAATAAGCAAGGTTCTAGTAGAATAAGAAGGATTCTAGTAGAATAAGCAAGGTTCTAGTAGAATAAGAAGGATTCTAGTAGAATAAGCAAAGTTCTAGAAGAATAAAAAGGANTAGAATGGTCCAGGAGAGTTCCTAATAAAGCTTAATTAGCTAGAAAAAACGCAGATGATAAAAAGTTGTCGAATTCAAAGAATAAAAAATCAAATTCTAGAATTATAAAATCCTTTTAAAATCAGATTTAGCTAAACAAAGATGAAAATGCAGATTAAAAAAGAAAATGAATAAAAATGTATGATTTAAGAATAACTTTTCAGACAAATATATAAAGATATGTTTAAGCAAATAAGCATATCCAAAAGAATGGAGGTCTTCTCTTGAAAATGTGATTGGGGGATGCAATTTTTCATAAAAGATTTTAATAAAGTAAAAAAGGTAGAATTTTTGAGACCTGAGCTGGGGATTTTTGTATCGGATAACCGGCTAAACCTAGAAATTAACCGGCTCAACTCAATATCCAGTGTACAAACTTTAAATTAACGGGTTTAAAGTCTAAAATCAGGGAATCTTTAAATCAATTTCCTCTTCATGCAATAATGGCAATCCCCGATTTACAACAGTATCCTTGAAAGCTTTGCCTGATCAAGTATGAATTAGATATCAACGTTTTTGTTTATTTAAACTGTTTATTTTTATTTGCGGTTTCTCTGCTAGAGTGACTTGCGCATTTCTTGCTGATAAGAAGCAATGGACGAACTCAAAGAAATAAACACTTTTCAAGTCAAAAAGCTATTGTATTTTCTCCATTTTTTATCACAGTAAAGTTTCAAGAGTTCTGTTTTAAATCGGGCATTTGAAATTACGCGTACAGACCCTTTAAATTGAAATTAGGCGTACAGTTCTTTTAATTTGAAATTATGCGTACAGTCCCTTTAATTTGAAATTACGCGTACAGTCCCTTTAATTTGAAATTACGCGTACAGTCCCTTTAATTTGAAATTACGCGTACAGTCCCTTTAATTTGAAATTACGCGTACATTTCCTTGAAGTCTAAATCCACCAGAGACAGAATTTCATCTCTGAAATAAATTCTACGGCTAATGTTTCACCATCCACATACAGATCTCCGGCTAAGCCGGAAAGGCATTCTAATCCAAGCCGGAAATCCAATACAGAAGTTTTCTATTCACTTTTTAGTGAAGGTTGAGAAAAAATGACCCAAACGAAGTAGAAAATTGATATTTTAAATCTAAAATGTACTCACATGAATCTTCAATACAGAGTCGATCCATTAGCCACTCGATCAGATCATAGCCTAAAAAAATTCAATAAGACAGGGTCCGACATCCTTTCATTAACCTTTATATTTATAAAAACGTAAAAGATATTATAACCTCCAGGGCTAAGGCCTTAAAGATGGTCATGTCAAATTCACAACGGAACCCTTTAGCACAAGAATGACTGAGATATCCATGTATGTCCATCTGAAAATTAACTATTATATTAATTTTTGCTGCATAGACATTGAAAGAAACGATCAAAATTTAATAGAAAAACGACAATTTCTTATCATCGTTACAAAGAAAAAGGTTTAAAGGGTACCGTTGTAAATTGGACATGCCACTCTACATATAAATGGAATATCACTTTAGTGTTGCAAACCAAGGAAACAATAAACATTAAAACTGAGAAGAATTTTCCCTTCAATTCCCTCTGTTGTTTTCTACTGTATTTAAAAACATGTTGTTTTAATCTGAAATACGCAGTAGTCTTCAGAGAAGAGCACTGTACTTACAGGGTCTCGTCAATAAACAACGTAATGGTTGCGATATACAGATCGTCCCATATCATATTAGATTATCTCCAAGTTTTAACGCCGAAATAAACCCGAAATACTCGAAAAACTTGGCATTTTCCACAAGAAAACTCTTATATTAGCCTTATCAATTTTTCAAAATAATTCATTCTTCTTAAATTTTCTAATTAGTCCCGAAAATTTAGACCGATTGACGATCTAATATGATGTGGGACACCCTGTAGACTAAAGCTTCAATTTTGGGACTAATATGGACGATTTTAGACGTTTTGGAATTCCTGTAAGATACCAAATAATTTTTTCTTAAGAAAAAATTAACATTTATGTTTGAACATATTGATACAAATATCAATTCTAACAGGATGAACAATATATTATAAAACTTTAATGGTCTGCCTCTAACAAACAGGATGATTTTTCTTTAAACACTATTCTATAAATGTTTTGTTCTAGCTAGTCCAGGTTACTATAGATCTGGGGGTGTGAACTTTGGATGTAATTATAAATAGCAAGGATTGCATCAGATGAATTTAAAACTTCAAACTTTAATAATATTTGCTTTGAGAACCAATGCCAGCTCTAGTTTACACCATTCGATCATACATTTTTAGTAGATATCAAAAATGGCCAAAATCATATAATTTTGTATTCAAGATATTGGGTTAGAGTTATACTTGATTAGATTTGCATGATCTATGATCTATTAATCAATATTTTCTTTATTCATCAAATTGATTAGATTAATTAATTGATTAGAGAATCAATAGATTAAATTGATTATTTGATTAAATTATCAGTGTATTGATAGATGATTATTAAATTGAACTGACCCATGAATGCGGCAGGTATGGAGGTAAGGAACAGTTTCTGGCTTCTGACCGGCACCCCATGCTGACTATCCTGCATCTCACGGAGCAGATTCTCCAGCTAAAAATGTGATTATATGGAGCTAAACATGTGATTACTACGGAGCTAAACATGTGTTTAAAAGGTAGCCTAATCACTTGTTAGTTTAACATGTGATTAATAGGGAGCTAAACATGTATTTAATAGGGGGTTAAACATGTAATTAATAGGGAGCTAAACATGTATTTAATAGGGAGCTATACATGTATTTAATAAGGAGCTAAACATGTGATTAATAGGAAGCTAAACATGTGATTAATAGGGAGCTAAACATGTATTTAATAGGGGGTTAAACATGTGATTAATAAGGGGCTAAACATGTGATTAATAGGG